AAATATATATATATATATATATATTACTTTAATCAAATTCTTTTTAAAATTAATGTGATTAACAATTTACACTTTTAAAAACTTATTAGACGCAATGAACTTAGTTTATAAAATTATTCGATATAATTTCTAAAATTGAAATTCATCTATAAGTTAGTTTAAATGCAAACCCCAGTCAATTAATAATGTCAAAAATCTAATGTGGCACGTTAAGTCCTCTCATTACTTATACAGAAATCCAGTCATAGCAACCATTTTTAGCATTTTTTTATAACGTTCACCTTCAGCTTTTTTCTACATTTTGTTCTTCCTTTTTTTCAAAAACATCACAATAATTCTACAACAATATATAATACTAATAACAAATTAAGAATTTAACTATTTATTATCATTTTAATCATTCATTATATATCAATATTATCATTTTAATCAAACTCTATATATTTAAACTAACGTGATATACAATTTGCACTTTTAAAGATTTATTAGACAATTCTTTTAATTTCAGAGACTAATATGCCATCCTCTTCCAAATTCGGTGGCCATAAGCGTTTTAATCTTTTTATTAAACTATCATTGATCATCAATAGAACATCTAGAGAGCAGTTTTTTCTTTTTTTTCACAAACGTACATGCTTTTATATCAAACAAAATCTCCCATTGAAGCTTATATTAACTAAAATCTTCCATTTAAGTAACAAAAAGTTACTAGTGGTGATCGTGAAATCCTAAAGAAAACCTTCAACCCCACGTCCGGCTCTTACATCTTTATATATAGTAAATGCTTCTTCCATTATCTTAGCTTGGGCCAGCAATTCTGCTCTTTTTCTTCCAGAAGGATGAGTAGAGAGATAATCCCTAAGGGTAGAATCACCTGAGATTTTTCCCAATTTCTCATACACTTTGGGTGCCACCCGGGGATCATAGCCAGCTGATGCAATTAACAGCAGCCCAATGTAATCAGCTTCTAATTCCATCCTAAAAATTGAGAATAAATAGTGTTTTGTTACAAAATTTGTGGCCCAAAAAGCTCATGCCTCAAGAGTGTTGAATGGATAATAAAAGCCATGTCAAAACTTGGCTAGATAGTTGGAATAGAATGAAAAGAAATTGATTAAGATGAACATATCATGCTTAAAAACATTAAATAAGCACAACCGAAAATTACAGATCCTGATCATAAAATATCATGCAAATTAAAAAACGGTTTAAAATCCATCAAGTTACTTCACACTAACATACAATAGGGTTGTCATTGTACAATATTCTAGAGAGCAGAACTAGCTCCGAAAACATTTAAGCATTCCCCTCCCCTGGATGAATTCTGTATAAGAATTTTCGTTCAGATACTAAGGGAGCATTTGTTACGTGCAATTTTTCACATTTCTAGGACTTTTAGTTTCTCATGTTTGATAGTTATTTTAAAAAGAGATTCACATGAATATAATTTCCTCAAAAACTATTCTTATCCTATTTTCCCACAAAAACATTCCTACAAGGAAGTGAAAAATCCAACTTTCCCAAATTAGAGGAAAAGTTTTATATATATATAAAAAGATCACAGTATCTGTTTTTAAAACAAAAAATATCTCTTCCTCCTTCTATTACTCTTTCTTCCTCTCTTTCTCTCTCTCTCTCTCCCCCCTCACTCTCTCCTCCCTTCTCTCTGCCTCTCATATCTCTATTTCTTTCTATTTTCTTGTATCTCATTATTTTTTGATCTTGTCAATTTTAATAATATTATTAAAAATCTATTTTATTTCTACATTTTAATGATCTTTGTTAACACTTTTTTTATTTTTTTCTTTGAATGAAATAAAATAATATATTTTTGTTCTTCTTAATTATAATGTAGCATTTTTTCTTTTTTCTTTTTTTTGTTAAATTCTGTTTAAATAACTATGATAAGTTTTCAACTTTTAATATCATAACTGTAATAAAATTAAATAAATAAATATATGTAACGAGTTTATTAAAGGATATTTTGTAAGAAATATTTATAAATCCAAAAATATACTATTGTAACTAAACATGAAAATCTTTAATTTCCGATAATCATTTATGAATATTTTCGGTAACTTTTATGAGTAATAAAACATATTTTAACTATTCACAAAAATCATGATTCCTGAATATTAAAAAACTTCTCCCCCACCTAAGACCTCCAAATAGTATCCTACTTTACTTAATGACATGTTTAATTTGTAAAATAAATGTTACATTACCATAGTGTTTTCCTTTTTATCTAAAACGAATTTAGAATAATGGGAATCTTATAAACATGCAATTAATGCAGAAAAACCATGAACTATGTTAATCTTATAAACATGTAATTAATGCAAAAGAACCATGTACTAAGTTACATGATGCCTATCTTGAGCACTCAAACCATCTCTTTATCACTCGCTCATTTGCTAAAGCCATTCATGCATTAACTCATGTAGATATTAACTGTTAGGCATTGGATATATCATGTAGGTTTGTTTTCTAATGCATTCATAAAAGATAGCTCACTAAATGCTCTGGCTTTTTTTTTCCAATTAGTTTCTAGAGTCCAGAATATTTGGAATCATAGCAACTGACTGGCTTTTAAAAATACTTCCAAAATTCATGTTTCAAGAAATCAATTGTATATCTCATAATCTATTGTGATCAGGAAGCTCACAAGAAAGGATAATTATTGATTAATAATATATTGTGCCCAATATCAACTCTGCTATTCAACGTGTATCCATCAACGTCATTCATCTTACCGTGGTACAAAAACCATACATCTAGATACAAGATATATTCAGGTTAAAGTAAGAAGAAAAAAAATAGTAAGCATGCAATTTGCATATAGGTTCTAATTGGTAATTAGACTTAAGCGGTTTCTGTTTTTCTTTACCTCTTCTCCTGTAGTGTAATAGAATCTCTCTCTCAAATAATGTTCCACATGTAAGAAAAAGTAAGTGGTTATGGTCCAACAGTCAAATTGAAGAAAACTTGTGATAATCTACTGGTTCTATTTGACCGAGCAAAGTAAGCTATTTGAAACTTAGAAGGCCAATATTTCTCCACAACTCAACATATTTTAACTAGTCATGACAAATGTTATCTTTCTGTGAAATAAATCTACTACAATTCAAGATCATACAGGAAATCATTTGGTTAGAGAGAGACAGTGAATAAAACATACCTCCGGGAGAAAGGTAGGTGCAAGAAAAGGGATGACATTGTGTTGACAATATCAGGTGTGACAAATTGATAAAGTATCAACTGTAGAATTGCGAACCACAAGTTCTTTGTAATCCCCTCTGCACTGTGTCTTGCCACAGCATGCCCAACCTAATTAACAACAAAATCCATATAAACTGACATGTCTGCATATCCTTTGTGCAAGATAACAAGTACCAAGTTGTGAGGTGTAAGTTTTAGGTCTCCTATGCTAGGCATACTAAACTGCAAAAGCTAGTACTTAAACTCTTTTTGAGTAAACTTTACAAAAGCACTTCTAGAAGAGAAAAATAGGAGAAAAATGAAATGAACTTCTTCATGAGCTAAAACTAGCTTACACAGAAACTAATTGGTAGAAGATTTTTCCTATCATGTTCTCCAAAATCTTATTTTTAACTTACACATATGTTAGTTTTAGCTCATGGAGAAATTTATTTCAAAATTACTTCCTATTTTTTTCTCCAATGCTTCTATAGACCCTTACACATAAATCATGCACAAGTATAATACCTCATGTCCAATAATAGTTGCTATCTCTGCATCACTATTGAAATGCTCTAACAAACCAGTGAACACAACTATCTTCCCACCAGGTAAGCAGCAGGCATTAATAACAGGCTCATTTACCACCAAAATTTCCCAATTCAATCCATCCAAGTGCGATGTAGCAGCCTGTGACCCTCTTTCCTGACCCTTTTTCCTGCTTTGCTGAACCCATTTGTCATCAAGAATCTCATCCTCCTTGTGCCAAATCCCTTCAAGCTTCTGTTCACTCCCAGCCAATGCATTCAGTGTCTCCCTTCCATCTCCTTCGACCAGCCCAACGTTCTCCGATGCATACCCCAAATCACTCCAAACCTGCTCCTTTCTCAACCCTCTCTGCAATGCATCGATTATATCCTTCGCTATCATGGTCACCCTCACACTTTCAGGATGTATAGGAGGCAATATCTTCCCCTTAAAAGCAACCTTCATCTTCTCAAACTGGCTCTCCCCAACCTTCCTCTCCATGGCTTTCGACAACAGAATCAAATGGGTTCGCTTGGTGTAAGGAACTGTTTCCAAGTTCCCAAAATACACAGTGACAAAAACCCCTGAACCAACCATCACAACAATGAAAACATGCCTAGGATTCTGAAACCAACGCTTTGGCCCTCTTGGCTTGAAATGGTGCACATTTTGAGGATCCACATAGTAAAATCTCTTAGCCCCACAAAGAGATGGGTTGCGATGGTTCCTGGTAACTCCAACAACACCTTGTATGCCTAATCTCTTAGAAATTGAACAAAACGTAGAGAACCCATTAAAGCTAGCTCCCTTTGAACCTGAATCCACATACCCAGATGGGCAAATCCTCGAACTACGCTGAAAAATTGGTTTTTGAGGCGCAACCCTCGAAGCCAAGCTGTGAAAATGATCGAGAGCGAGCTTTCCCCTTCTGTACCACCTCATGATCTTGAAAACGCCGAATCAAAACCCCAAAAACAAAAAACAAAAAACAAAAAAAAAAAAACAAATGGGAAACTTCAAATTCTGGAGCGATTCAAAAATCAGGGCCTGTGGTGAATCGGAGCCTCAAGATAGATGAATGCTGTTAGAGCAAAGCCACACCCACACGTGAAAGAGAGAGTATCAGAGGAAAACGTAAAGTGGGAGAAAAAGGAATTCTTATTCTGTATATTATATTTCAGTACAAGGGGTGGTATTTATAATGTTTTAATCACTTCTAACACCTCCCCTTGATTCAAACCAATTACAAACTAACAACATTCAAAAACTCTCTCAACTCTTTAAATCTTTCACTCTTCATGGATTTAGTCATAATGTCTGCTAGCTGTTTCTCAGATCTGCAATGCTGAAGTCTGATCCTCCCCTTGCTTACTTGATCTCTGAGGAAATGGAATTTCGTGTCTATATGCTTGCTTCTACCGTGTGACACAGGATTCTTAGCCAAATCAATTGCTGATTTGCTATCCACCAGCAAATCCACTGCTTCACCAGTAAACATCTTTAATTCTTTAAGTAGAGAGGATATCCACAAGGCTTGACATGCAGCTGCACAGGCTGCAATGTATTCGGCTTCACAGGTAGAGAGTGCTACTACTGTCTGCTTCTTAGAATTCCAGGATATGGGTGATCCTGACAGCAAGAAAACTTGTCCCATGGTGCTCCTTCTGTCAACCAGATCACCACACCAATCAGAATCAGAATAGGCTACAAGGTGTAAGCTATCATCTCCTTTAGTGTGATGAGGAAACAAAATGCCATAACTGAGCGTTCCTCTTAGATACCTCATGATTCTTTTAGCTGCAACCAAATGTGATTGTCTAGGATCACTCATAAATCTGCTGACCAAACCAACACTAAAAGCTATTTCTGGTCTGCTGTGACAAATAAATCTCAAGCTACCAACAATTTGCCTGAACATAGTTCCATCAACAGAGCCTTCATCTTCGCTCTTATCAAGCTTCACATTCAATTCAGCTGGAGTTTCTGCTGGTTTGCACCCCAGCATCTTAAACCTCTTCAGAACTTCGGACATATACTTCCTTTGATGCATAAAGATGCCTTTCTCGGTGTAGGCAAATTCAATTCCCAGAAAATAGGACAGGATGCCTAGATCAGTCATCTCAAATTCACTCTTCAAACCTTGCTTGAGTGACTCAATAGCGGTCAAACTGCTACCAGTGATGAGTAAATCATCAACATACAAACACAATACCAATATCTCAGTTTCACTTACTGTTTTGATATACACACCATGCTCAACTGAGCATTTCTGAAAGCCAAAACCAGTGAGAAAAGAGTCAATCCTTTTGTTCCACGCCCTTGGTGCTTGCTTTAAGCCATACAAGGCCTTCTTCAATCTCAAGACTTTCAGTTCTTTACCTTTACATATAAAACCAGGAGGTTGTGTCACAAAAACTTCTTCATCAAGTGGCCCATTTAAAAATGCTGACTTAACATCTAGCTGCCACAGCTTCCAGTTCCTCCAACTAGCCAAAGCAACAATCAGCCTCACAGTCTCCAATCTAGCTACAGGAGCAAACACCTCTGAGTAATCTATCCCTTCCTTCTGCATGAAGCCTTTTGCCACCAGCCTAGCCTTGTGTTTGGCAATTGACCCATCAGATTTGAATTTAGTTTTGAAAACCCATTTAACAGCAATAGCCTTTTTATTCTGAGGTAAATTCACCATTTCCCAGGTATCATTTTTCTCAATGCTCTTCAATTCTTCCTCCATTGCTGATCTCCACACTTCCTTAGAGATAGCTTCCTCAAACGTAATGGGTTCCATGTCTGTCAAAAGTGCCATATGCTGAACCAAATCACCTTCCTCAGTAATTGCACTATCATGATAAATCTGATAATCACTGAGTCTTAATGGAAAACTCCTGACTCTTGTAGGTCTGTCAGCCACCATTTGAAGTTCACTGTTGACCACTTCTTGATGTGTCTCTCCAACTAGATCCTCATCTTTCCATTCAAACTGAAACTTTGGTATTATATCAGAAGTAGACTGAAACTCTGCCCATGAACTTGATTCATCAAAGTAGACATCTCTACTAAATAGGACTTGCTGATTCTTGGGATTGAATAGCTTGTATGAACCAGTAGAGTTGTATCCAACAAAAATCATTGCCTCACTCTTGTCATCCAACTTCTTTCTCCTTTGATCAGGAACATGTCTGTAGCATAGAGATCCAAAAATTCTGAGATGCTTAACTGAAGGTTTGCTTCCCGACCAGGCTTCTTCTGGAACCATGGAGCCAAGCCTTTTGGTTGGACACCTATTCAGAACATACACAGCTGTCATGGCTGCTTCACCCCAAAAACTATGAGGAAGATTCTTCTCTTTAAGCATACTTCTGACCATGTTCAAGATTGTTCTGTTCCTTCTTTCTGCAATGCCATTATGCTGGGGAGTGTAAGGAGCAGTTACTTCATGAACTATACCATGCTCCTTGCAGAAACCTTCAAATTCTCCAGATGTGAATTCTCCTCCACCATCTGTCCTCAGAATTTTAATGCATTTTCCAGATTGCTTCTCCACCAAAGCCTTGAAATCTTTAAAGATGCTGAACACATCACTCTTGGCTTTGATTAGGTAGAGCCATGCCTTCCTGCTCAGGTCATCAACAAAAGAAACAAAATATCTATTTCCACCTAATGATGGAGTGTCAATCGGTCCACAAACATCTGAGTAAACAACATGCAGTACTTCATTAGCCTTAGAAGCTGTAAAATTGCTGAAAGAATTCCTGGGTTGTTTGCTGATCAAACAGTTATCACATATTTTCTTGGGAATTTTAATTGAAGGAAGACCAGTTAACATTTCCTTGGATTTCAAGAGACTCAAATCTCTAAAATTTAAGTGGCCTAGTCTACGGTGCCATAACCATGAATCATCTGACAACATAGCAGCGGAAAGACATTGTGATTCAATGGTGTTTAGGCTTACCTTGAAGGTTCTGTTCTTGGCCAATGGAGCTTTCATCACCAATCTCTTTGTTTTGTCATAGATTTCTAGAAAGCCTTTAACTGAGTTTACTGAGCATCCTTTCTCCAGAAGTTGACCCAGACTGATCAGATTCGTGGTCATTCCAGGAACATACAGTACTTCTGTAATCACTGTTTGTCTTCCATCTTCTCTTTTGACTAATACATTTCCAGAACCTTCAACCTGAGTGGCTCTATTGTCTGCAAATTTTACAGTACTCTTTTTCTTTGGATCGAAATTGACAAACCAATCTCGATGCCCGGTCATATGATTGGAACATCCAGAATCTATGTACCATTCTTCATTGTTATAAGATTCTGGATTGGTGATCATCATCAACATCAACGGTTGTTCTTCAAGATTCGCTTCATTATCTTCTTTGGCCATGTGTGCTTGATAATCACCATGTGATTGACTCCCCCGTTGATCTGTGCGACCTGGTGCAGCTTCACATTCTGCCGAAAAATGTCCAATTCGATTACAATTAAAGCATTTAATTCTTTTCCTATCGATTACCTTTTTCTTTCCTCCTCGCCAATTACTGAAACTCCCTCTTCTATTTGAGTTTTCTGGTTGATCTTGTTCAATCTTTCCTTGGTCTTGACTTTGATTATTTTTTTCAAAGCCACCTCTGAATCCTCTCCCACGGCCTCGTCCTCTGAAGTTTCCTTTGGAGTTGTAACGTCCTTTCTTTGAGGTTTGAGCTTGCAGTGCTTGATGATCATCAGACTTCACTGAACCTCTTTCAATGAGTCTCTGCTCATGTGCCTCAAGAGAACCTTGAAGTTCCTCTACCTTCAATTCCTCGAGCTTCTTTGATTCTTCAATGGCCACAACAATGTGGTCAAATTTGGGATCGAGTGTTCTCAGAATCTTTTCTACGATTGTTTGATCTGTGATTTTCTCTCCACAGTTCTTCATAGCATTCGTGTGGGTGATGATTCTGTTGAAGAACTCAGCTATCTTTTCATTATTCTCCATTTGCATCAATTCGTATTGACGCCTCATCGTCTGCAATCTCACCTTCTTCAATTGCTCTGCTCCTTCACTGCATTTCTCCAGAATCTTCCACGCTTCTTGCGAAGTTGCAGCACCTGCAATCTTCTCAAAGTGTGCCTCATCAACACATTGATGAATCAAGAAGGTTGCTTTACAATCTTTCTTTTTATTTTCTCTGTAAAGCGCCTTCTGTGCATCTGTCGAGTCTTTGGTGAGCGTTGGATAGCCTTCTTCGACGATTTCTGCAACCTCTTGATAACCCAGAATCGCCTTCATCTGCACACGCCACCGATCCCAGTTCTTTCCATTGAGAACGGGAAGGTTTGCCGGAAAATTCGTACCAGTTGAACCCATCGTGTCTCAAAAAATCCCTTAATCGGAACCTATGCTCTGGATACCAGTTTGTTAGAGCAAAGCCACACCCACACGTGAAAGAGAGAGTATCAGAGGAAAACGTAAAGTGGGAGAAAAAGGAATTCTTATTCTGTATATTATATTTCAGTACAAGGGGTGGTATTTATAATGTTTTAATCACTTCTAACAAGTGGCAAAACGTCGGAATGTTGGGGAAGTCGTGAGAACGTGGCTCCGTTAAGAAACCGAAGAATCTAGAGTAGAAAGAACACAAACACACGTGAGAACAAATAAAGGAAAACCAAACAACACCCGATTCTCAATGTAACGAAAACATGGACGCATACTAACGTGGGGAAAAAGAAAAGTGGGTAAAATTCATAGGTTTTAACCCAATGGAGAAAAATTTAACCGGATGCTTAGTTCTGATCCCAATTCACATCAATTAATCAGAGACCATGAATTCTCTCTCACCTATCAATTTTTATCTCGTTATAGATAAGAAAAATCTTAGATCCTCCGAAATAATGTTTCCAAATCATTAAAAATTAATTTAAATTATAAAATATTAAATTAAGTAATTATTTTATAATAAATTTATTAAAAGGTGTCAACATTTTAAAGTTTGGAGGTTGTTTTGGATTTTTTTTTTTTTAGGATATAGCAATATATAAATATATGTTCAAAAATTTTCTTAAATTTTAATTAAATACGATACTTTTTACATCTTAATAACAAATATAAAAATAAATATTCAATTGAATTTAAATCTAGTATAATAAATCAATTAATTATAAAACATTATACAAGTTTAGATGGTTGTCACAATTAAAATAATTTAATTTAGTTTTAAAATACTAATAATATGAGATGAAAATATAAAATAAATTAGTTTGTATAGCGGTACGATATTTGATTAAATAAAGTATTAATTGTAAGTAAGAAATGATATTTATATTGTACAACATATATATATATATATATCAAACTTTTGTAATGATTCCAATTTGATTGGGGAAAATGAAGTGAAGATAAAATAAGTGTATATTGACTTTTAATTAGTTTTATATTAGAATAAAATAATTGAAATAATGATTAAAATAAAATAGCATCACTAAAATCTATTGATATATTAAAACCGTAACAATCTAGTGTTCCATAGGTGATAAAATTGAGTAATTATAATGCATAATTACTTAATCAGTATATTTAAATTATTGTATATTTTTTATAAAAAAAAAACTATTAAAATAATATTAAGTGAGATTAATAATAATCTCTAATTTGTTCCAACAACTTCATAAAAAAAACTTTATTATTGTTTAAGAAAATAAAATGATATAAAAAATTTGTGTGACTAAACATGGTTATATCTCAATTACTATCAAATATTTTTTCACCCTTTCTACTAATATATAAAATAAAGATACATTATTTTACTATTAATTTTTTAAAACATTTCATCTTATTTTAATCCTTATTTCGAGCACACAAAAATTTATTTAACTATCTCTTATATGGACGAAATTTTATTTGGAAAAAATAATTAATATAATATTAACAATTTTATATAACTTAAGGTTTACACAATTTTTATACTTTTATTTTATGTTTATTAACATTATTATCAACATTTTATTATTGAGCACATTTTATGAAATAAAATAATATATATATATATATCAAGAAAATAAAAAAAAACTAATTATAAAATTTATTGTTTAGGAACTTAATTAAAAATATATATAATTTTCTTACATTTAATTTTAAGATATATCTAATTTTTATTTGTAATTTAATTTAGAATTAAAATTTTAATTTGAAATTGAGTTTTGAATTCCTAATTAAAATAATTTGTTTATTAAATATATTTCAGATTATGTATTACATATCTTTTAATATATATTAACAATAATAAGATAAAAACATTCATAATTTTTAGGATTTTTTTATAAAACTAAGTTCTTTTAAAAACACAATGTAATTGAATTTCTTTATTAAATCTATGAGTTGAAGTGGCAATGTAATGAAATTTTAATGTATCCACGTAAATTCAAATCACAATTTATATGAATAGGATCAATCATGTAAGATGGACCAATAGCACACATCACAATAATACTGAGAGAAAGAGATAAAGTGAGAGACACACAATATTTTATATTGGTCCTATAATGCTCTAAGTTTTCCAAAATTGTTAAAAGGACATTTTGATTAATTGAAGAAGTTTTATAAAATACTTTAACCCCAAGTTTTCCAAAATTATTAAAAGGATGTTTTCATTAATTGAAGAAGTTTTATAAAATATTTTAAAGACTTTTAGTAATTATAAATGTTTTTAATTAAATAATAATAAAAAAATTAAAAAAAAATGTATAATATTCATTAGAGAAATATGTATTTTTTGTGATATTTTATAATAATAAGTAGTTGGAGAAAAAATTGTTTTTATTATAATTTTGTATATATTTTATTTTAATTATAATTGTGTTGGAAGAAATACATTTATTTTATATATTATATATTTATTAATTATTAATTATTGTATTTTGTTATAATTATTTGGATTGAGAAAAATATGTTTATTTGATATATTATTTATTTATAATTTTTAATAGTTGAGGGAAAGGAAAAGAAAATTATAGTTAAAGTATATTTTACTGAAGGATTAAGTTTGGATTAAGTTTTTAAAATAGGGGGCAACAACCATTCTTTTATTTTTAGACTTCTCATTTTTCATATTATGTGTATGCTCTCAAAAACAAGCAGAACCATAACTCATAAGAGAACATCCTAGTGATCCACGTTCATCTTCTAGTGTTTATCAGGGAAGTGAGTAGTCCCACTTTAGGCGTGAGATGTATATTGGAGATTGGGATTGCCTCTCAATCCCTTCATTGTTAATTGTATTGTACGAAGGAGGTTTTTCCAATTAATTGCATTATGTATTTTGGTCTTCCATATGATTTCTCATTATTCTATTTGATGTTGTTTAGTTGTATATATATGTCTTCAATTTCATGATTTAACCTATAATTATGAAGTTTGGATTATCCGAGAATTTTCATGGGAACCCAAAATGGTTATCGTGTAAATAATAAATAGGGATATGTAATTAGAATGTGAAATTGAGGTTGGATTTGAGTAATTGATGATATAATAGAGTAATATTAAGCTTAAATTGTGATTTTTACTGATTGGATTGGAGTTTTGGAGTTGGGAGTTTGTAATATACGATTTTCACACATCTTGCAAATCTTTCATGAACCGGTACCACGTCAGGCATTAACTAAGCCGCGTTGGGCACCATTTGATATTATTCTTTGAGGTTTCGCATTGAACGATTTTATATTTTTTAAAAATAATAGATGAAATAATTAGCTTTTGAGGTCAACATAGAAGTTGGATATAATTGTTTTAGTTTTCTACGAAAATTAAGATCAACTTAATAACATATATATAGCTCTAGATAAGATGTTTGGACCACACAATGTCTTAGAAAATTAAGTTATAAAAATGTAATTTGTGACTAGACAATAAATAACTTTACCCTTTAAGTTTTTGATCCTATAAATGATTTGAGGTACCTATACCAATGTTTAGGAAAGATAAATCATGGGAGAAAATAATAGTGAATATGTTATGATGTAAGTTGATTGTTAACAATTTCAGGTGTTTTAAGCATAAAAAGTCTAAGTAAGGCCTTATGTGATATTGATAACCTTTTTAGAATAGTTAAGTTATTAATTTAAATGTTTGGTAATGTTGATCTCTTAGTGACTATGGTTGAAGTATTAACATATGATTATGATTGGATGATTTTATAATAATTTTATCTTGAAATATCTCAAATGATGTTATATAGTTATTGTGTTTAAATTATAAACATGTGTGATCATTATATTAAATAATGTTGATAACAAGTTATGATACGTGAATATTCTATTAGCATGATTGTGAACTATATATAAATTGATTAACATGTTTGACATTGATAGAATTGATATGTATAAATTTTGTAAGGTTTATATGATGAAAAGTTTAAGCAAGGATTAACCATGATGATATGATATTCTAATGTAATGATATCATATGCATAAAAATGTATTTTTAAGAGTACAATATTAAATACACTACTAAAAAAACCCTTGTGTAAAAATTTGGAAATCAATCCTTAAAAATAACTTTTCAATCTCGGCCTGTGTACATGGAATACATGACTCAATTATCCAAATTAGACACTAATATTATATCCTTTGGTGAAGGTGCATTAAAGATGTGATTTGACATTTACTCTATAAGGTTTTATAAGTGTTTCATTATTTATTTTATTTATTTATTATAAAATATAAAAAGAATTGAAAAAGATAAATATAAGAATTAAAAAATCTTATTTTAAACTGTAAAGACTACAGGGAAAAATAAGTAAAACTACTTAAAAAAGTATTTTATCCTCAAATAACTATATGTTAAAAACATTAAAGTAGATATAAAATAGATTAAAAAGAATATTTATATTTTAAAAATAAAATATTTTTTATTTTGATATTTAATTATTTACTACTAAATAATAACTTTTTTGTAGGATATAAAACATATAAGAGAATCATACACATTAAAGAAGTAAATCTTATCCCATTCAAATGAGAATAAATGTGAAAGAGTAACAAGTGAAGCTTTTAGGAAGCAAAAAATTATTCAAATTTCGTATTATTATATAATGATTATATAACATTTAACAATGAAGCAATAAGAAATAGCAATTATACATGAAATCAAATAGTACTGTTTTTATTTGTATTCCTATTTTGATTATCCTATTATTGTTGAGTTTTGATAACTTATGATAAGATGTACATATTGATGGTAATGGAGAGAATCAAGCCACCATTAAACACGTGACAAATTGTCAAAACCGATGGACATACCACTTCTAACATCACAGCAGCCTATGACATGAAGGTTGTAAATAGAATCAAAAAACTCTGGCTGATTTGTCAATAATGACGCACAGTAATTAACTAATTATAACCATAGAAATTTTCACCTAACAAGCATGACATACCTAATTTCTTCTAATGACTTTTTTTTTCCCTTGTATTTTTAATCACACAAACCTAAATTCTTACATTCCCCAGTCAAAATTGGGATTAAAAGGGATAACAGTGAACATTAAAAAGAAGAAAACGTGGGGAAAAAAGGTGAAGATACCAATGTATCCCCAGTCTCCCACCGCAGCACCCGTATGAAATGCACAAGACATAACACGTTGAGCAAATAGAGAGCACTCCAAGTCCCTTAACTTCACCAACTCCTTCCACCATTACCTCTACCACCTCTAAAACCTTTTGAAGACCTATTATTCCCACCAGAAAATCCACCACCCCTGCCACGGGAGAATCTATTCCCGCCACCTCTACCATTATTATTCCAGCGACCACCACCAAATCTGGAATCGCCTCTTTCCTCCAAAGGTGGCAATGCTTTCAGCACCTCTAGGCTTAAACTAGGGTCACTCTGCACACCTGAAGAGAAAAAATATTGAAATGTGAAGATATAGGCCAGCGATGAGAAGGGGTGTCCGTGTACAATCCATACAACAATATGCAAATATTCAACCAGTGTCAGCAATAACACAGGTTACTGACAATTACTAACATCATGGATAGTGTGATAGATGTTCATAGATCTGCACTATTTAAGATGAAAAGGGAAAAGAGAAATTGGCCTTTTAAAAATGCTCACAAATCTCAACTCAATAGTCAAGTTAAACTTTACCTGCAACAAATGCATCTAAATCTTCGGCCGGTACATCAAAAACGGCACCATTTTTATCTGCAGTGAAATTAAGACCTTGCACTGCCCCAACCTTCTCCTCGGGCAAGAATTTCTTCAGGAGTCCAAGTGTATGCCTGACAACAACCCAGAGCCACAAGTTAAATTTGGCCAAACAGGACAAACTCAAAATAACGTTTACACAGTAGATAACTTGATAAATTAAGCCCACACTCAACTAATATCTCCAAGCCACACGATTATAAGGGATTCCTATGTTTGATTCACGTTAAGGCCGTCTACGAATGCATTTTTATGCAAAACACTTTTCAATTATATATATAAAAAATTGCAATAATAATGTAATTGGGGAAAGGACTCAAAAACTCATCTTAGTGCTATTCTCTGAAGTTAATATAGAAGTTTTAGCAAAAAGACCATAAAAAATTGCATTAATAATTTTTTTCAGGTAAAACAAATGGGCGCTGACCTGTAAGAAAACAATTAAAAGGCGTTTTAGAAGTTTTTGCCTTTAAAAATGAACAAAAAAACTTGCATAATGATTTTAAATTTTTAAGCACGTTTTAATAAAAAATCAGTTTTTCTTCAAAATGAAAAAGCTCTAAGTCTCTAACAAAGGTGCTCTTTGCATATGAAAATATTTTTTTAATTTTTAAAAAAAAAATCACGAGCTACCACAAAAAGGCTAATCCAAATCCAAACACACATAGTTAGCAAATGTTGATATAAAGTAAGATGCTCTTAATTAAAGATTGTAAAATTCTCACATTGGGGAAAACATAGGTCTTCCCATCTTAAAAAGAACGGTAACATAATTCTCCCTGGAAGCCAGAAGTGATCTTTTCTTAAATTCAGTAAAACCCTGCAAATACCATTTTCACATATTAGAGAAAAATATTGACAATGAAGGATTTGATACATTGAAAAAACAATTTAGTTGGGAAAAGAAATGGAGAAAATCTGGAAGAACATTGCACTCACAGAAGCCTTGGCAAGAGCTTTTGCTAGTAACTCAACAGCTGATAAACCAGATTTGTTCAAAAGCTCCTCAGCAGCAGACTTGAATGCAGGAATCACACTGCATTTATGACATAAGTTAAACAGTTGAAGGCAGTGGTAAAAACAATTTCCAAATAACACAAAACATACCTATCAGACACTTGGTTAAGCACTTCTGCAACAGCTTTCTCACCAGCAGCTTTGGCAAAATCACCAGGCTGAGGGGCAGATAGGCGTTCAAATTTCACACCTGATTCCCTTTCTATTTTAGATATTTTAAACGATTGTCTGGGATCATAAAGCATTACAGCAACTCCAGTATTACCTGAAAAAACAAACCCAATTTGGTCACCCGCAAATAACATAAATATCACCTCCATCCAAATAAATAAATAAATAATAGCAAAATTCAAAATTACCAGCTCTTCCTGTGCGCCCAGATCGATGGATATAGGCTTCTACGTCCCGTGGAGGCTCACACTAACTCAAATAAAATTCAGCAGCACATCAGTTCAAAACACATGAAGAATCATTTATTATATTATCTACATATATATTTACACATATATGAATAAGAGTACCTGGATAATCAATTGAACATCATTAATATCCAGACCTCTAGCAGCCACATTTGTGGCCACCAATGTCATGAATTTCCCAGATCTAAAAGCTGACAGTGTAACCTACACAAGACAGGACACAATTAAGAGAAAACATAAGAGCAAGATTGACACCCACAAGTTACTCAAGTGAAAAATCATCAAAACGCAAACTTATTGGTTCAAAGTTTCAAAATAGATCACCTTCAAATAAAATGAAAACTTCCTGAACCAATAGTCAATTAGTCATATAAAGTCGTATAAAAACCTCACCTCCCGTCGGGACTGTTGTATGTCACCATGGAGAGCCCTTGCTCCAGTCAACAACCCTGCAAGCTCAGAGGCTGTCTCCTTTTTTTCAGTAAATACAATTGTCCGGCCTCCACTAAAACAGAACCACAAGAAAAAACAATTATAAAAGGTCCCAAATGCATATCATATTTTAAAGTAGAAATAAAAATTAAATAATAAAAAATACCTGCTATAACAACGAATAATGTCAGGTATAAGCTGGGACAAGCTAGAACTGAGACATGGAAGAACAATATGCCTAACATTGGCGCTAGCCTTCATTTTCTCATTCCCAACGAGATCAGCAGTAATCTTTTCTGGTTTCAGAAACTTCGCAGAAATCTTGCATGAAAAAAAATGTTGGATAAGGTAAGCACCATCAGAATAACAGCCAATCAGTAGGAACATTGAACTTAGAACAAGAAATTATCACAAAGAAACATACTTGCTTAACCCAGGCTGGCAAAGTGGCACTAAAAAGAAGTGTCTGAACTTTAGCAACATCCTTCACATTACCTGCAAAAATCAAATGAGACTACCTCAGTCAGCTTGCATAAATATACTTAGTAGTAGTACATACAGAATTTAAATTTAGCAGGAAAAAAAACATACCTAGAATGAGTTCAACATCTTCAACAAAGCCCATCCTCAGCATCTCATCTGCCTCGTCAAGGACACGGAACCTTAGATGGCTTAGGTCAAGGTTACCCCTCTCTATATGATCCTACACCAAAATCACTAATAGTCTTGACCCTTGCACAAAGCAAAGCTTCTATAATCTACCTTTCCACTAATTAACAATCACATAAAAAAAATGAAAAATAAAGCAGCAGACACTAGAAGGGTGTGAAGGGGATGTTTGGCACACAAAAAGTTTACTTACCCAAGAATCTTATGTTGCGAATGTTAGTTTTCTATGTTCTGTTTGCTATTTAAAAAATAACATTCTTAGAAAAAATTATTTCCCAGGAATAGTTTTAACATAGGCTTCCTACAGAATTATTTTCGTGGGGGAGAGTAGAAACTAACATTCCTAAGTTAAAATAGTGTTTTAATGGGGTAAAATCGTCACGTTACCTCTATTTAAAAATATTTGATTCCTAGGTAATATTTATATCTTTGACACATCTATTAGATGAGGAGACCTGACACTGGTCTTTTTCTTCTTCCTATGAAGATGTAGACTATATCCATAGCCTTTCATATTAGGAAAATATAATATCTAATAGTATTACGTGTATATACAGTAAATAACCTCATTCCCAGAAACATTCATGAACAACCAAACAGATTTTTATCATTCCTAGGAAATATGATTCCCATGAACCATAATTCCCAGACATGAAAAAGTTTAACATGTAACAAACATCCCCCAAGGACATGTTTTGAATCTAGTTAGCAATGATGCAAATGGAAGTTCAAACATAGCAAAGGATGAACGGGAGAAGTATGGTATTTTGTTTGTATCAACTGATATCCAAACACACTTTAATGTTTAAGTAATTACCTTTACACGACCAGGTGTTCCAATAACAATATCAACACCTCTTCGAAGATTAACCTCTTGATTGTAATATGGCGTCCCACCATATAAACAGCAAGAACTCAATCCCATCACGGAGCCATAAACTTCAAAATCAGCATAAACCTAATTGACAAAAAACCACATCATAAAGCAACACAAATAAAATAGCAAACCAAGTTACTCCCCCAACCAGCTCATGCATCATATTATACCTGATTGGCCAATTCCCTAGTAGGCAAAAGCACAAGGACACTTGGAGGCCTTGAATAACCTGTCTTTCTTGCAGCTTTAGCTGGGCCATTTGTCAAAGACACTAATATGGGCAAGACAAAAGCCAGAGTTTTACCCTGCATATTCCCGAAAGAATAGAAATAAAAAAAAAACAATTAAAGGTCCGTAAAGCAATCCAATGCAAAATAACATTATAAGTTTATAACATCAATTATCTTCGAACCCTGACTGCTCCATATAGCAACTTCAAAACTCTAAACTGCATTATTCTATATCAATATCATAATCACTCCAAACTATAAAAGCATATCTTCACATCTTAACACACCAGAAAAACTGCATTAAAGAAACATTTCGTTTGAGAAAAATGACACTTTCACTTAATCAATTGTTCTCATGGTTTAGGCCTTTAAGATTTAGGATCTCCATAAACAAAGTATAAACAAGGCCTTATTTTTCGCAACCATTCCTCAAACAAATACAAAAACAGAAAAAAAACAATGCCAATCCAATATGGCCTAAATCTTTCAAGTTTCAAACACAACAATCCCTGTCTCTCACTGATGCCAACCCCCCCCCCCCCCT